ACACAACAGTACATAAAGTACACAATAGTACATAAAGTACACAACAATACATAAAGTACACAACAGTACATAAATACACAACAGTACATAAAGTACACAATAGTACATAAAGTACACAACAGTACATAAAGTACACAACAGTACATAAATACACAACAGTACATAAAGTACACAATAGTACATAAAGTACACAACAGTATATAAAGTACACAATAGTACATAAAGTACACTCCTCTGTAACCGTTTGTGTAGTGTAGTTTGTTTTTATTGTAGTATTGTTTTTGTAAATCCAGGTTTCTTTTTTCGAACTTTTATTGAAACAAACAAATCCTTGAAATGATCACATACATTGTTTGACATCTTGTTTACAAAAAAGAAATTCCACATTTTGTACAATCCAAAACAGGAGGGAGAAAGAAAAAAACAATGAATTGATAAACAAATTAGTCAATTATTAAACTATCTCGTTAGATGCGTTTATAGGTGCCCAAATGTTCAAATAAGTGTCTTTTTCAGTCTTAAAACTGCAGTGATTTCTTCCATAGGTTCACAGACTTCAGTCTCTGAGTCCATTGGTCCAAAGTGGCAGTTAGCTGTAATTACTTTGTGTGCAACCAGAGCCAGAACTTTTAATAAATACACTTTTCCCTTTTCTTTGACTTCAGGTATATTGCCTCTGAGTATTATATTGAAGATGTGGTATGATACTTTTATATTTAAGATCTTACATATCTCCTCCTTCACCCTTTCCCAGTACATTAGCACCATGGGGCATTCCCAGAAACTGTGTGAGAAGTCACCTTGTTCCCCACAATGTCGCCAGCAGAGGGCGCTTGTGTTACTATTAAAACTAGCAATTACAATCGGGGTTCTAACTAAACTCTTTCCAGTTTGGACTGTTGAGACATTTATGCCACTCGACCCATGACTGATCCCAATCTGAATCAGGGATTACTGTGTTGGCTGTAATTCCCATTTATTCATGACATCGAATGTATTTTCATCTTGTTCTTTGAGGATAATTTTGTATAATGAAGAAATTATCTTTTTCAAAACCTTATCACTTTCCATTACTTCTATCCAATATTGTTCGAAGTCTTCTGGCTGCTCTTTAACTTGTTCAAATTCCTTGTGCTTCTCTAAATAGTTTGTTTACCTTGTATCCTAAATGTCTATCCTAAAAATCTTGTATCCCTTCTATCTGTATATTTGTTCTGATCCATTCAGCTAAGGGTTCAATGCTAAGAGCAAAAAGAATTGGGGCCACAGGGCTGCCCTGTCGCACCCCCTCCTTATGTGAAAAAAGTCTGAGCAATATCCATTTACACGGATTCTTCAAACTGGATCTTCATTTAAAGTATTAATCCAACTGATAAAAGAAGGACCAAATCCAAACTTGTCTAGTGTGTAATTCAAATATATCCAGTCCACCTATCGAACGCCTTCTCTGCATCTAACGCAAGAAGCATTGAAGGCTGGATGGATTTCTTAGCAATAGATTGGATATTTAGAGCTCTTCTAATATTATTTGAACCTTGTTGTCCTGCAATAAACCCAGTTTGGTCTGGATTAATTAATTTCCCAGTATATGTTTGCATCCTCTTGGCTAATATAGAGCCGAGAGTCTTAGCATCATTCCCAAGCAGGCTAATTGGTCGATAAGATGCACATTCTTTATGTATTACTGTTATTATGGCCTCAGAGCAGCTCTCTGGTGGATCATAGTTGAATACTGCGCACAGCTTAGGAGCAAGTTCTTTACTAAATGCTTTATATAGCTCTCCACTAAGGCCGTCAGGACCGGGACTTTTATTATTTTTTAATGATTTAATGATCTCTACTATTTCCTTCTCTGTGATCGGTGTGGTTAAAATTTCGGCCTCCGTCTTTGTTAGTTTTGTTAAATCTAATCTTTTAAAAATATTATCCATCTTTTCATTATTTTGTGGGGTGTCAGGTGTATAAAGCTTTTCATAAAAACCTCAAAATGCACCTGCAATTTGCTCTGGGTGTGAAATTTGTTTTCTTGTTGTCGGGTGCTTGATTACTGGCACTGCACGACTAGCCTGTGTTTTTCTAAGTTGGAAAGCTAGTAGACGGCTTGCACGATTACACATTTCGTAGTATTTTTGGCCTGTAAAGCGCATCGATCCTTCTGCTTTATATGTAAGACATTTATCAAAAGCATTCCTTTGATCCTTAAGTTGCAGTAATACATTATTGTTCCTAGTAGTTTTATGCAGTTGCTCTAATCTTCTAATTTCATTTTCCAACTCTACTTGTTTTGCTAACCTTTGCTTCTTAAGTTGTACCCCCAGCTCGATGCATCGACCTCTTAACACTGCTTTGGCTCCATCCCACAACACAGAGGGGGACACTGCTCCATTGTCATTTAACTGAAAATACTCCTCAATTGTGTCTTTTAATTGTTTGTAAATTGTTGGATCACTCAGCATCGAGACATTCGGTCTCCAGTCTCTAAAATACCGGTCTCTATGCAGATTCAGCAACATCTTAACCGGTCCGTGATTGATAGAGTTATAGGTTCTATTATGATATCAGAGACTCTATGAAGCTCTTTTTTAGACACACATATCATGTCTATCCTTGAATAGGTCCCATGTACATTTTATAAGAAGGTGTAGTCTTTTACATTTGATTTTATAGTTCTCCAAGTTTCAACCAAACCTACTGTAGTTCCTGCAATAGATATTTTACTGCTTTGCTTTTCCTACTTGGAGTGGTGCTATCAGGAGGTAATTTATCTTGTTTTGGATCCAGCACACCATTGAAGTCTCCTCCAAGAATAATCATGCCCTTGGATTCTTTTGCAAGAACGGACGCTATTTGTGTAAAAAATGAGGGGTCGTCTTCCTTTGGTGCATATATGGTCATGATTGTCATATCCCTATGTATCTGCCTTGAGGATCTTTCACTTCTTTCTGTACATCAAAAATAGTGTTTCGATGAAATAAAATTGCCAAACCTCTCTTCCTACTTCTTGGACAATTTGCAAAAAACACTTGGTCTATCCATTCTCTCTTTCATTTTCTGTGCTCCAATTCACTGAGACGAGTCTCTTGTAATAATGCTACTGAGCATTTATACGACTTCAATTGACTCAATATCTTTCTTCTTTTTATGGGGTGTCCCAACCCTTTAACTTTGTAACTAATTATATTGATTTCTGCCATAATGATTATCAAATATCTGTAGGTCCCTTCTCTTCAGATATTTAAGATGTCTGTACACAAACGACAGTACTTGTACTTTGAAAGTTGTAAACAACCTGTATTTGAACATGAACTTGTCAAGGAAAATGAACAAGTGAACAAAGATAAAAACCATGAAATAACCTAACAAACAAAATAAACAATAGTTACTTCCATCTGTCCGACCAGCAATGTTGGACCCCTTCAGGGATTTCCGTGATAGTACGTGAAATCCAAAGAGTGACCCAGTCCTAGCAGGCCCCTGTTGGTCCCCAGGCAGAGCAGTGTGGCTTCTTCTCTGGGAAGCAAGCACTCAGTGCACACGTGGTCATAACCCAGAGTGGAGATGGATGCATCCACTGGTGAGGTCTAAACCCTAACCCAGAGTGGAGATGGATGCATCCACTGGTGAGGTCTAAACCCTAACCCAGAGTGGAGATGGATGCATCCACTGGTGAGGTCTAAACCCTAACCCAGAGTGGAGATGGATGCATCCACTGGTGAGGTCTAAACCCTAACCCAGAGTGGAGATGGATGCATCCACTGGTGAGGTCTAAACCCTAACCCAGAGTGGAGATGGATGCATCCACTGGTGAGGTCTAAACCCTAACCCAGAGTGGAGATGGATGCATCCACTGGTGAGGTCTAAACCCTAACCCAGAGTGGAGATGGATGCATCCACTGGTGAGGTCTAAACCCTAACCCAGAGTGGACATGGATGCATCCACTGGTGAGACCTAAACCCTAACCCAGAGTGGAGATGGATGCATCCACTGGTGAGATCTAAACCCTAACCCAGAGTGGAGATGGATGCATCCACTGGTGAGGTCTAAACCCTAACCCAGAGTGGAGATGGATGCATCCACTGGTGAGGTCTAAACCCTAACCCAGAGTGGAGATGGATGCATCCACTGGTGAGGTCTAAACCCTAACCCAGAGTGGAGATGGATGCATCCACTGGTGAGACCTAAACCCTAACCCAGAGTGGAGATGGATGCATCCACTGGTGAGGTCTAAACCCTAACCCAGAGTGGAGATGGATGCATCCACTGGTGAGGTCTAAACCCTAACCCAGAGTGGAGATGGATGCATCCACTGGTGAGGTCTAAACCCTAACCCAGAGTGGAGATGGATGCATCCACTGGTGAGGTCTAAACCCTAACCCAGAGTGGAGATGGATGCATCCACTGGTGAGGTCTAAACCCTAACAACGTGGGTTTCATAGTCAAAAGCAAAAGGTAAATTTGGCTCCCGTGAAAATACAATTAGTTAACACTTATCAAGCAGCGACAATGGCTTTGATTACACGATTATTCCCCTACAATAGCAGAGAGGAACATACCTTGAACACACGATAAACATCAGTCATTCATATGAGATGGATGAAGTTTCAGATATAAGCCTGGAGGTCATTATCAGAGAGAGATCCATTACCTCCTCTTTTCCCGTTTTCACTTCTGCTCCACAGTTCTTTGGTCAGCTCCCTGTCCATCTTCTCCCTTTCATTCACCTGAACAGGGACACCCAGGTCTTGAAGTGTAGGTAAAGCCTCTACAAGCGTTGGGAAGGTCTTCGGTCCGTTTGCCGACTCGATCTGCAGCTGTGCGGGGCAGCGACATCTGGCCGCACCCCTTTCTCCTTCAGTTGCTTAATCACGCCGCGGAGCCGTTCTTTTGGGGTTCAGGAGAGTAGTCTTGGTCGAAATATTACCTTGAAACATAACTTGTTTAAGAGCCCAGGCTTGCCGTAGGACAGTTTCTTTCACCGCGTAGTCCCTGAAGCAGATAATTATGGAGCGTGGTGGAGCCGCACCAGATAGCAGGCCCCGAGAGCACGATGAGTCCTTTCGATCTGAACGTCGTCTTCAGGAAAATGCAGGACATTTTTAATTAGCCCTTTCACGAAACCGATCATATCTTCCTTTTCACTCTCCTCTTTAACTTGGTAGATACGCATATTGTTTCTGCGAAGGCGGTTTTGTAACTCGTCGCAGTGACTTGTTAACGTGGCCTCTCTTCGCAGCAGGTAGCGGAGCACCCTCTCGCTGCGTTGGCTAGCATCCGCTGTAGCATTTATCCTGCACTCAGCTTCCTCAGCCCGAGACTCCAGTGTAGTCAGCCTCGCGTTCACCTCTTGCATTGAGCCCTCAAGTCGGTCCAGTGAGGCCTTTGTCTCAGTGAAAGAGGTTTCGCGGAGAATCTCCGCCATGTTCAAGTCTTTAGCTGTTGGGCAAGTGCTGATGCTAATGTTAGCGTCACTGATATCTTGATCCGGGCGCTCCGCGTCACTCCTTTCCTTGGTTAGTTGCTGTTTTGAAATCTTCCTCGTTGAAGTCATCTTTCCTCTTCACTTAGAAAGTAGGGGATATTTATTTTGAAGATAATGTGCCAAATATTGCAAATTATATGGGAGCCGAAATCTCCTGCGTCCTATTCAGAACATGGCGCCACCGGAAGTCCCGTAAATCCAGGTTTCAGCAATAAAAAGATTGACCAATCAGAGGCCTTCATTGGTGGGAGAACTCCATCTCACCTTAGCAACCGCCTTAGCAACCGTCCTAGCAACCGTCTCAGCAACCACATTGCAACTGTCTTAGCAACCGTTTTAGTAACCGTCTCAGTGACCGTCTTGGCAACCGCCTTAGCTAAGACCTTAGCAACCGTCTTAGCAACCGCCTTAGCTAAGACCTTAGCAACCGTCTTAGCAACCGCCTTAGTAACAGTTTTAGCAACACAGCATGACGCTAGTACGCTGCAGAAGAATTGCCAAACTTATTTCAAATTCTTTCACATTTGGGCTTTTCTCTATCCACTTGTGTGTGTGTGTGTGTGTGTGTCTAGTGTATGTGTGTGTGTGTGTCTTGTGTGTGTCTACTGTATGTGTGTGTGTGTGTGTCTAGTGTATGTGTGTGTGTGTGTCCTGTGCGTGTGTGCTCGTCTTGTGTGTGTCTAGTGTATGTGTGTGTTTATGTCTTGTCTGTGTGTGTCTTGTGTGTGTGTCTGTGTTGTTTGTGTGTGTCTTGTGTGTGTGTTTGTGTATTTTCTCCAAACAGCCTTTGAGTCGTAGCGATGACAGATCACAGAATGAATCATGAAATCTGTTCCAACTCCTGCTGTTTTCTTCTTCTGCTTCACAGCGACAGAATATCAGACATTTACAGATTGTTTTGGAGAAAAGAGATGCTTTAAATGTCCCACAGGGAAATGTCAGTGTTGCATCGTCAGGTACAGGACAGGAGTAAAACTAATCTAACTTTAGCCAAAGGCAGGATGTTGGAGACGGAGACAGAATCATGGCTCCTCCTCTTCTTCTGCTCCAGGTCCAGAGACAGACCAGAGTGAGACCAGAGAGAGAGACCAGAGAGAGAGACCAGAGAGAGAGACCAGAGAGAGACCAGAGAGAGACCAGAGAGAGACCAGAGAGAGAGACCAGAGAGAGAGACCAGAGAGAGACCAGAGAGAGACCAGAGAGAGAGACCAGAGAGAGAGACCAGAGAGAGACCAGAGTGAGACCAGAGAGAGACCAGAGAGAGAGACCAGAGAGAGAGACAAGAGACCAGAGAGAGACCAGAGAGAGACCAGAGAGAGAGACCAGAGAGAGAGACCAGAGAGAGACCAGAGAGAGACCAGAGAGAGAGACCAGAGAGAGATACCAGAGAGAGACCAGAGAGAGACCAGAGAGAGACCAGAGCGAGACCAGAGAGAGAGACCAGAGAGAGACCAGAGAGAGACCAGAGAGAGAGACCAGAGAGAGAGACAAGAGACCAGAGTGAGACCAGAGAGAGACCAGAGAGAGAGACCAGAGAGAGAGACCAGAGAGAGACCAGAGAGAGACCAGAGAGAGAGACCAGAGAGAGATACCAGAGAGAGACCAGAGAGAGAGACCAGAGAGAGAGACCAGAGAGAGACCAGAGTGAGACCAGAGAGAGACCAGAGAGAGAGACCAGAGAGAGAGACCAGAGAGAGAGACCAGAGAGAGACCAGAGAGAGACCAGAGAGAGAGACCAGAGAGAGAGACCAGAGAGAGACCAGAGAGAGACCAGAGAGAGAGACCAGAGAGAGAGACCAGAGAGAGACCAGAGTGAGACCAGAGAGAGACCAGAGAGAGAGACCAGAGAGAGAGACAAGAGACCAGAGAGAGACCAGAGAGAGACCAGAGAGAGAGACCAGAGAGAGAGACCAGAGAGAGACCAGAGAGAGACCAGAGAGAGAGACCAGAGAGAGATACCAGAGAGAGACCAGAGAGAGACCAGAGAGAGACCAGAGCGAGACCAGAGAGAGAGACCAGAGAGAGACCAGAGAGAGACCAGAGAGAGAGACCAGAGAGAGAGACAAGAGACCAGAGTGAGACCAGAGAGAGACCAGAGAGAGAGACCAGAGAGAGACCAGAGTGAGACCAGAGAGAGACCAGAGAGAGACCAGAGAGAGAGACCAGAGTGAGACCAGAGAGAGATGCTCAGACTTTTTCCAAATTTTAGCCATTTTATGTTACATATCTTCGTAGATTATAAAAGTCAGAATCTAATGCAAAGTGTCAGTGTTTTTCTGTTTTGCTTTTTCTTGAGTTCTGCTTTGGCCTGAACTACAGAATGCACCATGTGTGTGTTTGTGTTGAAAGAAGAGGTGTTAGGAGCTGTTGGTGTTGTTGTGTCGCTGGGCCAGACACTTGACCCACAGCAAAGGTCCAGGACTCTCCACATTCACCTTTAAGGACCTTTCAAATCTATCTCACGTACACACACGTACACACACGTACACACACGTACACACAGGCACGTGCACACACGTACACACACGTACACACACGTACACACACGTACACACACGTACACACACGTACACACACACACGTACACACACGTACACACACGTACACACACGTGCACACACGTACACACACGTACACACACGTACACACACGTACACACGTACACACACACACGTACACACACGTACACACACGTGCACACACGTGCACACACGTACACACGTACACACACACACGTACACACACGTGCACACACGTACACACACGTGCACACACGCACACACATGTACACACACGTACACACACGTGCACACACGTGCACACACGTACACACACGTGCACACACGTACACACACGTACACACACGTGCACACACGTACACACACGTACACACACGTGCACACACGTACACACACGTGCACACACGTACACACACGTACACACGCGTACACACACACACGTACACACACGTGCACACACGTACACACGTACACACACACACGTACACACACGTGCACACACGTACACACACGTGCACACACGTGCACACACGTACACACACGTACACACACGTGCACACACGTACACACACGTGCAGACACGTACACACACGTACACACACGTACACACACGTACACACACGTACACACACGTGCACACACGTACACACACGTGCACACACGTACACACACGTACACACGCGTACACTCACACACGTACACACACGTACACACGCGTACACACACGTACACGCACGTACACACACACACGAACACACACACACACGAACACACACGTACATACACACGTACATGCATGTACACACACGCACACAGAGACACACACGTACACGCACACACACACACGCACACAGAGACACACACACAGACACGCACACACACACGCACACAGAGACACACACACAGACACACACACAGACACGCACACAGAGACACACACACTTGTCATGCTGAGTCATGCTGAGTCGTCCTTGTCTTGCAGTTGTTTGAGAGAGAAAGCTGCACGTACACACACGTACACACACGTACACAGAGACACACACACACACACACTTGTCATGCTGAGTCATGCTGAGTCGTCCTTGTCTTGCAGTTGTTTGACAGAGAAAGCTGCACGTAAACCCGCACACACGTACACACACACGTACACACACACGTACACACACACGTACACACACACGTACACACACACGCACACGCACACAGAGACACGCACACACTTGTCATGCTGAGTCATGCTGAGTCGTCCTTGTCTTGCAGTTGTTTGACAGAGAAAGCTGCACGTACACGTACCTTCTGGCCGACAGCGAGAGCAAAGAGGCGGTGCTGATCGACCCGGTTCTGGAGACTCTGGACAGAGACATGAAGCTGGTCACAGAACTGGGACTCACCCTCAAAGTGGCAGGTGCGGCACACGGAGCAAAACCTGCTGCACTTTTCTATGTTGTGGTGTAGAGACAGACCCTGAGGATGGTGTGATTGTTCTGGACCATTTGAATGATATAAACTACTGTATAATAATGTTTATATAATATATGTATAATGTTCACAAAGTGTTCTGGTAAAGCTGAAGCCTGTGTTTCAGTGAACACCCATTGCCACGCCGACCACATCACCAGCTCTGGGCTCATGAAGCAGCAGGTTCTGGGTTTGAACAGTGCCATCTGTGGTTTGAGCGGAGCACAGGCCGACATCCAGCTGCGAGAGGGAGACAGCATCCCCTTTGGACCACACGTACGGACCTGATAGGGCTATCTCTGACCTATATACTTATACTGTCTGTATGAATATACAAGTATAAATGTATACTTATACTGTCTGTATGAATATACAAGTATAAATGTATACTTATACTGTCTGTATGAATATACAAGTATAAATGTATACTTATACTGTCTGTATGAATATACATGTATAAATATATACTTATACTGTCTGTATGAATATACATGTATAAATACATACTTATACTGTCTGTATGAATATACATGTATAAATACATACTTATACTGTCTGTATGAATATACATGTATAAATATATACTTATACTGTCTGTATGAATATACATGTATAAATACATACTTATACTGTCTGTATGAATATACATGTATAAATACATACTTATACTGTCTGTATGAATATACATGTATAAATACATACTTATACTGTCTGTATGAATATACATGTATAAATACATACTTATACTGTCTGTATGAATATACATGTATAAATATATACTTGTACTGTCTGTATGAATATACATGTATAAATATATACTTATACTGTCTGTATGAATATACATGTATAAATACATACTTATACTGTCTGTATGAATATACATGTATAAATATATACTTATACTGTCTGTATGAATATACATGTATAAATACATACTTATACTGTCTGTATGAATATACATGTATAAATACATACTTATACTGTCTGTATGAATATACATGTATAAATACATACTTATACTGTCTGTATGAATATACATGTTTAAATATATACTTATACTGTCTGTATGAATATACATGTTTAAATATATACTTATACTGTCTGTATGAATATACATGTTTAAATATATACTTATACTGTCTGTATGAATATACATGTATAAATATATACTTATACTGTCTGTATGAATATACATGTATAAATATATACTTATACTGTCTGTATGAATATACATGTATAAATATATACTTATACTGTCTGTATGAATATACATGTTTAAATATATACGTATATGTATATATGTATAAATATATGTATAAAATGTATAAAATATATATATATAAGTATAAATATATACGTATATGCATATATGTATAAATATATGTATAAATAATATTTATACATATATGCATATACGTATATATTTATACTTATATATATATTTATTAAATATATATATAAGTATAAATATATACGTATATGCATATATGTATAAATATATGTATAAATGTATAAATATATATATAAGTATAAATATATACGTATATGTATATATGTATAAATATATGTATAAATGTATAAATATATAAATAAGTATATGCATATATGTATAAATATATGTATAAATATACATGTATAAATATATATATAAGTATAAATATATACGTATATATGTATAAATGTTAGGGCTGTCAAAATGGTCGCGTTAACGCACGTTAATTAATTTTTTTCAATAATCGTGTTAAACGCAATTAACGCATACCCATGCATCCCATAATAACACCCAGAATGCCACGGACACGTGTGTGTGAGATGGCGACAGAGCAGGTCTCTGGGAATTCAAGTTTTAAAAGAATACACGCATGACCGCGAGGCACTTGTTTCCTGTACGAACTCTGCGAGCTGAGCTCCGGCGCTCTGGACAGCGGTTCCTCCAGCGGCGGTGATCACGGCGCTCTGGACAGCGGTTCCTCCAGCGGCGGTGGTCACGGCGCTCTGGACAGCGGTTCCTCCAGCGGCGGTGATCACGGCGCTCTGGACAGCGGTTCCTCCAGCAGCGGTGATCACGGCGCTCTGGACAGCGGTTCCTCCAGCGGCAGTGATCACGGCGCTCTGGACAGCGGTTCCTCCAGCGGCGGTGATCACGGCGCTCTGGACAGCGGTTCCTCCAGCGGCGGTGATCACGGCGCTCTGGACAGCGGTTCCTCATCTGTATCAAACAATAGTTTTGGTCTGAGTCTAAGCAGAAAGACAGAATGTTAAAAATGTTAATTATTTTATATGGATTTATTGTTATAAACTAATACTTTACATATGTTCACTATGATGTCATTTATCTTTGCACTCAACCATTTACAGAAACATATGGCATCATTTTGTCCATAGTTTGAAATGCGATTAATTACGATTAATTTTTAAGCTGTAATTAAATCGTTTGACAGCCCTAATAAATATATATGTATAAATATATATGTATAACTATATGCGTATATATTTATACATATATATTTATACATACAGTGCCTTGCGAAAGTATTCGGCCCCCTTGAACCTTTCAACATTTCGCCACATTTCAGGCTTCAAACATAAAGATATAACATTTTAATTTTTTGTCATGAATCAACAACAAGTGGGACACAATCGTGAAGTGGAACAACATTTATTGGATAATTTAAACTTTAAAAAAAAGTGAAAAGTGGGGCGTGCAATATTATTGGGCCCCTTTACTTTCAGTGCAGCAAACTCAGTCCAGAAGTTCAGTGAGGATCTTTGAATGATCCAATGTTGTCCTAAATGACTGATGATGATAAATAGAATGTACCTGTGTGTAATCAAGTCTCCGTATAAATGCACCTGCTCTTTGATAGTCTCAGGGTTCTGTTTAAAGCACAGAGAGAACCATGAAGACAAAGGAACACACCAGGCAGGTCCGAGATACTGTTGAGAAGTTTAAAGCCGGATTTGGATACAAAAAGATTTCCCAAGCTTTAAACATCTCAAGGAGCACTGTGCAAGCAATTATATTGAAATGGAAGGAGTATCAGACCACTGCAAATCTACCAAGACCCGGCCGTCCCTCCAAACTTTCATCTCAAACAAGGAGAAGACTGATCAGAGATGCAGCCAAGAGGCCCATGATCACTCTGGATGAACTGCAGATAACTACAGCTGAGGTGGGGATGGTGTGTTCAGGGTGATGAGCTGTGTTGCTTTTACGACAAACATATCGTTTTGCATTGTGGCCAAAAAGTTTGATTTTGGTTTCATCTGACCAGAGCACCTTCTTCCACATGTTTGGTGTGTCTCCCAGGTGGCTTGTGGCAAACTTTAAACCAGACTTTTTATGGATATCTTTGAGAAATGGCTTTCTTCTTGCCACTCTTCCATAAAGGCCAAATTTGTGCAGTGCACGACTGATTGTTGTCCTATGGACAGACTCTCCCACCTCAGCTGTAGTTATCTGCAGTTCATCCAGAGTGATCATGGGCCTCTTGGCTGCATCTCTGATCAGTCTTCTCCTTGTTTGAGATGAAAGTTTGGAGGGACGGCCGGGTCTTGGTAGATTTGCAGTGGTCTGATACTCCTTCCATTTCAATATAATTGCTTGCACAGTGCTCCTTGAGATGTTTAAAGCTTGGGAAATCTTTTTGTATCCAAATCCGGCTTTAAACTTCTCCACAACAGTATCTCGGACCTGCCTGGTGTGTTCCTTTGTCTTCATGGTTCTCTCTGTGCTTTAAACAGAACCCTGAGACTATCAAAGAGCAGGTGCATTTATACGGAGACTTGATTACACACAGGTGCATTCTATTTATCATCATCAGTCATTTAGGACAACATTGGATCATTCAAAGATCCTCACTGAACTTCTGGACTGAGTTTGCTGCACTGAAAGTAAAGGGGCCCAATAATATTGCACGCCACACTTTTCACTTTTTTATTTGTTAAAAAAGTTTAAATTATCCAATGAATTTTGTTCCACTTCACGATTGTGTCCCACTTGTTGTTGATTCTTGACAAAAAATTAAAATTTTATATCTTTATGTTTGAAGCCTGAAATGTTGGGAAATGTTGAAAGGTTCAAGGGGGCCGGATACTTTCGCAAGGCACTGTATATGTATATATATTTATACATATATATGTATATATATATTTATGCGTATATATTTATACATATATATGTATAAATATGTGCTGAAGCGTCTGGTGGTGAGGGAGACCCCGGGGCACACAGACGGCTGCATGACGCTGGTGACTGCAGACCAGACCATGGCCTTCACTGGAGACGCTCTGCTCATCAGGGGCTGCGGCAGGACCGACTTCCAGCAAGGTACACATGGTACACATGGTACTGACAGGTACACATGGTACACATGGTACTGACAGGTACTCACAGGTACACATGGTACTGACAGGTACACATGGTACTGACAGGTACACACAGTTACACAGTTGTACAAACAAGTACACAGTTATGCAGCCCGCGAAAATTCAATTTGGTAGACGTTAACCAAATTTACCCCCTCCAGGCCGGCTCTCATCCCCAGCCTATCGCTCAGCAGACGCCCCCTTCCAATCATCTGTACCGACTCGCAGCCGCATAAAAACGGAGCAACTCCCACTCTCTGCCTCCTGAAGCCTCGCAACCACCGCCTCCCCTCCTCCTCCTCTTCACCCTGCCTCCAATCTGCCTTCAATTTTCTTCCCGCTGCCAAATGCCGCCACCAGTGCCTAGGTCCCTGTCACGAGCTGAGAAGGATGAGGACTCAAAAAGCAGGAATGCCAAAAAATAATTATTTAATGATAACAAAATAAAAGTCCAGGTTAAAATCCAAAAGGCACAAGCAGCAACGAAACAGGAACAGACAAGACAGGACGGAGGTTGACAATACAATGGACCAGCAACATGGGGAGAGGAGCACAGGGTACATATAGACAGACACAGACACAGGTGAAACACATTAGGGCGGGGCAGACAATCAAGACAGGGGAAACAGGGCGTCAAAGTCAAACTAATACAAAGCACAGAGAACAAAATATCAAAATAAAACTAAAGTCCAAAATAACAAAATCCACACCGTGACAGTCCCGGGGGATTGTGCGCGCTCATCGCAGGAGCCTTTCCGATCCGAAGGCCGCACCGGGGCCTAGGGCGCCAAACCTCCTTTCATAAAATACTCAACTTCCCGTTTCTCGTCTCTCCAAATTGAAATACACACAGGAACACAGTTGTACACACTGGTACACAGTTGTACACACAGGTACACAGTTGTACACACAGGTACACAGTTGTACACACAGGTACACAGTTGTACACACAGGTACACAGTTGTACACACAGGTACACAGTTGTACACACTGGTACACAGTTGTACACACAGGTACACAGTTGTACACACAGGTACACTAAAGTAAAGGGTTTCTGAGTCCCTTGGACGCTGAGAGCTGATTGGCTGAGTGAGGTGGGCTGATCCAAGAGACAGGAATTTGTTTATATTTGTTTATGGTTTGAAAGTCAGGTTCCTCTGCTTTAATTCCTGATGAAGTGGTGAAAGTATTATACAAGAACTGTACGTGTGAAGAAGCCCCGTCAGAATCAGGATCCCGTCTGGATCAGGACTGAGGAAGCCCCGTCTGGATCAGGACTGAGGAAGCCCCGTCTGGATCAGGACTGAGGAAGCCCCGTCTGGATCAGGACTGAGGAAGCCCCGTCTGGATCAGGACTGAGGAAGCCCCCTCTGGATCAGGACCGAGGAAGCCCCGTCGGGATCAGGACCGAGGAAGCCCCCTCTGGATCAGGACCGAGGAAGCCCCGTCGGGATCAGGACCGAGGAAGCCCCGTCGGGATCAGGACCGAGGAAGCCCCGTCTGGATCAGGACCGAGGAAGCCCCGTCGGGATCAGGACTGAGGAAGCCCTCCTCAGGGAGGGGGGGGGGGGGGGTCCATGTGTTTGTAATGCCTCGTCCTGACCACTAGAGGGCAGTACCTGTGTGTATATGACTGTGGCTTTTTGTTGGAAATTACAAACTCATTTTTAAGATTAATTTGTTTAGCACAGATCAGGCACAAGGCATTATAATCATAAATAATCACAGAACATCAAAAAGACTTAACTATTTATTATCCTGGATTTGTAGAAGCCTGTCTCACATTTTCAAGAAGACTATTCCAGATTATAGCTGTCTCAAGTTTAGTCCTGACTCTGGGACCAGCAGGAGTCTGTAATGCCTCGTTCTGACCACCAGAGGGCAGTGTTTGTATCATTTACGCTGTCGTCTGCCAACAATGAAATAATATATTTAATTTATATATTTATGTTTTTCTCTTGGTTCAGGTTGTTCCAAAAGACTTTACGAATCCGTCCACTCCAAGATCTTCACCCTCCCCGACAGTTGCCTGGTGTACCCCGCTCACGACTACCAAGGTACAGCTTTGGTTCAGATCCCTCGGCAGGAGACCAACCCTGTGTGTGTCCAGGTCAGAGCGTCTCCACCGTCGGCGAAGAGCGGCGCTTCAACCCTCGTCTGACCAAGTCCTTAGACGAGTTTGTGCACATCATGAACAACCTCAACCTGCCCAAGCCCGGCAAGATCGGTGAGACTGGAACCTATGGTGGAGAACAGAGGGGTTAGAACCCAGGGCCACAGAGAAGAGGTGTTAGAACCCAGGGCCAAAGAGGTGTTAGAACCCAGGGCCAAAGGGAAGAGGTGTTAGAACCCAGGACCACAGAGAAGAGGTGTTAGAACCCAGGGGCACAGAGAAGAGGTGTTAGAACCCAGGGCCACAGAGAAGAGGTGTTAGAACCCAGGGCCAAAGAGAAGAGGTGTTAGAACCCAGGGCCAAAGAGAGAGAAGAGGTGTTAGAACCCAGGACCACAGAGAAGAGGTGTTAGAACCCAGGGCCAAAGGGAAGAGGTGTTAGAACCCAGGGCCACAGAGAAGAGGTGTTAGAACCCAGGGCCACAGAGAAGAGGTGTTAGAACCCAGGGCCAAAGAGAAGAGGTGTTAGAACCCAGGGCCAAAGAGAAGAGGTGTTAGAACCCAGGACCACAGAGAAGAGGTGTTAGAACCCAGGGCCAAAGGGAAGAGGTGTTAGAACCCAGGGCCACAGAGAAGAGGTGTTAGAACCCAGGGCCACAGAGAAGAGGTGTTAGAACCCAGGGCCAAAGGGAAGAGGTGTTAGAACCCAGGGCCACAGAGAAGAGGTGTTAGAACCCAGGGCCACAGAGAAGAGGTGTTAGAACCCAGGGCCAAAGAGAAGAGGTGTTAGAACCCAGGGCCAAAGAGAAGAGGTGTTAGAACCCAGGACCACAGAGAAGAGGTGTTAGAACCCAGGGCCAAAGGGAAGAGGTGTTAGAACCCAGGGCCACAGAGAAGAGGTGTTAGAACCCAGGGCCACAGAGAGAAGAGGTGTTAGAACCCAGGGCCAAAGGAGAAGAGGTGTTAGAACCCAGGGCCACAAGAGAAGAGGTGTTAGAACCCAGGGCCAAGAGAAGAGGTGTTAGAACCCAGGGCCACAGAAGAGGTGTTAGAACCCAGGCCCCAGGAAGAGGAAGAGGTGTTAGAACCCCCAAGGAAAGTTTAGAACCCAGGGCCAAGAGAAGGTGTCCAGAGAAGAGGTGTTAGAACCCAGGGCCAAAGAGAAGAGGTGTTAGAACCAGGCCAAAGAGAAGAGGTGTTAGAACCCAGGGCCAAAGAGGTGTTAGAACCCAGGGCCAAAGAGAAGAGGTGTTAGAACCCAGGGCCAAAGAGAAGAGGTGTTAGAACCCAGGGCCAAAGAGAAGAGGTGTTAGAACCCAGGGCCACAGAGAAGAGGTGTTAGAACCCAGGGCCACAGAGAAGAGGTGTTAGAACCCAGGGCCAAAGAGAAGAGGTGTTAGAACCCAGGACCACAGAGAAGAGGTGTTAGAACCCAGGGCCACAGAGAAGAGGTGTTAGAACCCAGGGCCAAAGAGAAGAGGTGTTAGAACCCAGGACCACAGAGAAGAGGTGTTAGAACCCAGGGCCACAGAGAAGAGGTGTTAGAACCCAGGGCCAAAGAGAAGAGGTGTTAGAACCCAGGGCCAAAGAGAAGAGGTGTTAGAACCCAGGGCCAAAGGGAAGAGGTGTTAGAACCCAGGGCCACAGAGAAGAGGTGTTAGAACCCAGGGCCACAGAGAAGAGGTGTTAGAACTGTGACATGTGACATCACCTGGTTCTATACTGTGACATGTGACATCACCTGGTTATATACTGTGACATGTGACATCACCTCTGGTTTTGCAGACATAGCCGTTCCCTGTAACATGGTTTGTGGACTGCACCAGGTGGAGCCAACACCATGAGACTGGATTCAACACAATTCAACATGAACAACATGAATAATTAAATAATATGAATAATTTAAATAACATGAATACTCTGACGGAGTCTAAAGTCAACTGTTTGTTTATAAGAGAAAGATTTTTTAAAATGGAGTTAAAAATGTGGATGTTTGACTTTGAAAATAAATAAATCCATTTTATTATAATTAAACTTTGTCATTTGTTTTTAAAACTACTTATTGTAACGTTTCTAAGTCTTTCACTTTTGTTTGTAACATGTCTTCAGTCCGAGGTCGTCCCGAAGATCTGCAGAAAAGTCACTTTTACAGAAAAATATAAACAAGGGTTAGATCACACCAGACCTGGTCCAACCAGACCAGACCAGGTCAGACCAGACCTGGTCAGACCAGACCAGGTCCAGCCAGACCAGACCAAGTCAGACCAGACCAGGTCAGATCAGGTCAGACCAGACCAGTGAAGAAGATGACATAGTCTGGGATCGCGTCTTTAATTCAGACAGAAGACATGTTTTATTGTCGATGGTAGAGACGAACAACACAAACAACACGAACAACAGAATGCAAGTGTATTATACAGAGCGTTGGCATGGAGACCTCCAATCAGCAGCTGCCACAGTGCCATGTAGCTTGGCCTTCAGATAGACACAACAAGGGAAAAGTACTGGCTTCTGCACATTGATAGAATGATGAGTTTAACTTTAACAAAAGTTGCTTCAAAGTGTTATGAAATCTCACACCAGGTCAGACCAGACCAGGTCCAACCAGACCAGGTCAGACCAGACCAGGTCAGACCAGACCAGGTCAGACCAGACCAGGTCAAACCAGACCAGGTCCAACCAGACCAGGTCAGACCAGACCAGGTCAGACCAGACCAGGTCAGACCAGACCAGGTCAGACCAGACCAGGTCAGGCCAGACCAGGTCAGACCAGACCAGGTCAAACCAGACCAGGTCCAACCAGACCAGGTCAGACCAGACCAGGTCAGGCCACCAGACCAGGTCAGACCAGACCAGGTCAGACCAGACCAGGTCAGGCCAGACCAGGTGGTATTATAAACAAAGGAAAGTATTTAGTAAAAGAGAGATTTGTGAGAAAACACGGAGCTTTGAAAGAACGTTCTCAGTTTCTCTGAGAACTCAAAGTTTTCAATTCTCCAACAACACATCAGAGAATCAGTGTGTTGTGTTGTGTGTGTTCTCTTCAGTGTGTGGCTGTTGTGTTGCTGTTGTGTGTTCTCTTCAGTGTGTGGCTGTTGTGTTGTTGTTGTGTGTTCTCTTCAGTGTGTGGCTGTTGTGTTGCTGTTGTGTGTTCTCTTCAGTGTGTGGCTGTTGTGTTGTTGTTGTGTGTTCTCTTCAGTGTGAGGCTGATTGTGTTGTGTGTTCTCTTCAGTGTGTGGCTGTTGTGTTGTTGTTGTGTGTTCTCTTCAGTGTGAGGCTGATTGTGTTGTTGTGTGTTCTCTTCAGTGTGAGGCTGTTGTGTTGCTGTTGTGTGTTCTCTTCAGTGTGAGGCTGATTGTGTTGTTGTGTGTTCTCTTCAGTGTGAGGCTGTTGTGTTGTTGTTGTGTGTTCTCTTCAGTGTGAGGCTGATTGTGTTGCTGTTGTGTGTTCTCTTCAGTGTGAGGCTGTTGTGTTGTTGTTGTGTGTTCTCTTCAGTGTGAGGCTGATTGTGTTGTTGTGTGTTCTCTTCAGTGTGAGGCTGTTGTGTTGCTGTTGTGTGTTCTCTTCAGTGTGAGGCTGATTGTGTTGTTGTGTGTTCTCTTCAGTGTGAGGCTGATTGTGTTGCTGTTGTGTGTTCTCTTCAGTGTGAGGCTGTTGTGTTGTTGTTGTGTGTTCTCTTCAGTGTGAGGCTGATTGTGTTGTTGTGTGTTCTCTTCAGTGTGAGGCTGATTGTGTTGCTGTTGTGTGTTCTCTTCAGTGTGAGGCTGATTGTGTTGTTGTGTGTTCTCTTCAGTGTGAGGCTGATTGTGTTGTGTGTTCTCTTCAGTGTGTGGCTGTTGTGTTGTTGTTGTGTGTTCTCTTCAGTGTGAGGCTGATTGTGTTGTTGTGTGTTCTCTTCAGTGTGAGGCTGTTGTGTTGCTGTTGTGTGTTCTCTTCAGTGTGTGGCTGTTGTGTTGTTGTGTGTTCTCTTCAGTGTGAGGCTGATTGTGTTGTTGTGTGTTCTCTTCAGTGTGAGGCTGATTGTGTTGTTGTGTGTTCTCTTCAGTGTGAGGCTGTTGTGTTGTTGTGTGTTCTCTTCAGTGTGTGGCTGTTGTGTTGCTGTTGTGTGTTCTCTTCAGTGTGTGGCTGTTGTGTTAATGTTGTGTGTTCTCTTCAGTGTGAGGCTGATTGTGTTGTGTGTTCTCTTCAGTGTGTGGCTGTTGTGTTGTTGTTGTGTGTTCTCTTCAGTGTGAGGCTGATTGTGTTGTTGTGTGTTCTCTTCAGTGTGAGGCTGTTGTGTTGCTGTTGTGTGTTCTCTTCAGTGTGAGGCTGTTGTGTTGTTGTTGTGTGTTCTCTTCAGTGTGAGGCTGATTGTGTTGCTGTTGTGTGTTCTCTTCAGTGTGTGGCTGTTGTGTTGTTGTTGTGTGTTCTCTTCAGTGTGAGGCTGATTGTGTTGTTGTGTGTTCTCTTCAGTGTGAGGCTGTTGTGTTGCTGTTGTGTGTTCTCTTCAGTGTGAGGCTGATTGTGTTGTTGTGTGTTCTCTTCAGTGTGAGGCTGATTGTGTTGCTGTTGTGTGTTCTCTTCAGTGTGAGGCTGTTGTGTTGTTGTTGTGTGTTCTCTTCAGTGTGAGGCTGATTGTGTTGTTGTGTGTTCTCTTCAGTGTGAGGCTGATTGTGTTGCTGTTGTGTGTTCTCTTCAGTGTGAGGCTGATTGTGTTGCTGTTGTGTGTTCTCTTCAGTGTGAGGCTGATTGTGTTGTTGTGTGTTCTCTTCAGTGTGAGGCTGATTGTGTTGTTGTGTGTTCTCTTCAGTGTGAGGCTGATTGTGTTGTTGTGTGTTCTCTTCAGTGTGAGGCTGATTGTGTTGCTGTTGTGTGTTCTCTTCAGTGTGAGGCTGATTGTGTTGCTGTTGTGTGTTCTCTTCAGTGTGAGGCTGATTGTGTTGTTGTGTGTTCTCTTCAGTGTGAGGCTGATTGTGTTGCTGTTGTGTGTTCTCTTCAGTGTGAGGCTGATTGTGTTGCTGTTGTGTGTTCTCTTCAGTGTGAGGCTGATTGTGTTGTTGTGTGTTCTCTTCAGTGTGAGGCTGATTGTGTTGTGTTGTGTGTTCTCTTCAGTGTGAGGCTGATTGTGTTGTTTGTGTGTTCTCTTCAGTGTGAGGCTGATTGTGTGTTGTTGTGTGTTCTCTTCAGTGTGAGGCTGAGTGTGTGAGGCTGATTGTGGTTGTGTTGTTGTGTGTTCTCTTCAGTGTGAGGCTGATTGTGTTGTGTGTGTGTTCTCTTCAGTGTGAGGCTGATTGTGTTGTTGTGTGTTCTCTTCAGTGTGAGGCTGATTGTGTTGTTGTGTGTTCTCTTCAGTGTGAGGCTGATTGTTGTGTTGTGTGTTCTCTTCAGTGTGAGGCTGATTGTGTTGTTGTGTGTTCTCTTCAGTGTGAGGCTGATTGATTGTGTTGTTGTTGTGTTCTCTTCAGTGTGAGGCTGATTGTGTTGTTGTGTGTTCTCTTCAGTGTGAGGCTGATTGTGTTGTTGTGTGTTCTCTTCAGTGTGAGGCTGATTGTGTTTGTTGTGTGTTCTCTTCAGTGTGAGGCTGATTGTGTTGTTGTGTGTTCTCTTCAGTGTGAGGCTGATTGTGTTGTTGTGTGTTCTCTTCAGTGTGAGGCTGATTGTGTTGTTGTTGTGTGTTCTCTTCAGTGTGTGGCTGATTGTGTTGTTGTTGTGTGTTCTCTTCAGTGTGAGGCTGATTGTGTTGTTGTTGTGTGTTCTCTTCAGTGTGAGGCTGATTGTGTTGTTGTGTGTTCTCTTCAGTGTGAGGCTGATTGTGTTGTTGTGTGTTCTCTTCAGTGTGAGGCTGATTGTGTTGTTGTTGTGTGTTCTCTTCAGTGTGAGGCTGATTGTGTTGTTGTTGTGTGTTCTCTTCAGTGTGTGGCTGATTGTGTTGTTGTTGTGTGTTCTCTTCAGTGTGTGGCTGATTGTGTTGTTGTGTGTTCTCTTCAGTGTGTGGCTTATTGTGTTGTTGTTGTGTGTTCTCTTCAGTGTGAGGCTGATTGTGTTGTTGTGTGTTCTCTTCAGTGTGAGGCTGATTGTGTTGTTGTGTGCTCTCTTCAGTGTGAGGCTGATTGTGTTGTTGTGTGTTCTCTTCAGTGTGAGGCTGTTGTGTTGTTGTGTGTTCTCTTCAGTGTGTGGCTGAAGGACCGGTTTGTGTGCGTCTGTCGGAGGTTGCTTCAGTCGTGGTGAAACCTCACATTCCAGACTGAGTTGTTGGAGTTTGTGGAGTCGCATGTTTTTGACACACACAAAACACACAGACAGGAAATATGAAAGTCTGAAAGAGTGAGAGAGTGACCCACAGTCTGAAAGGCAAGTTTATTTATATAGCACAATTCATACACAAGGCAACTCAAAGTGCTGAACAAGAAAGCATTAAAATCATAAATAATCACAGAACATTAAAAAGAAAGATAAAAATATAAAATCCCTCAGTTGTAGCACAGCTAAACAGAACTGTCTTTAACCTGGTTTTAAACATTGTCAGAGAGGAGGCCTGTCTCACATCTTCAGGAAGACTGTTCCAGATTTTAGCATGAATCTGAAAAGCAGCCTCCCCATGTTTAGTTCTGACTCTGGGCACTAACAGGAGTCCAGTCCCTGTGCTCCTCAGAGTCCCAGCAGGAGTCCAGTCCCTGTGCTCCTCAGAGTCCCAGCAGGAGTCCAGTCCCTGTGCTCCTCAGAGTCCCAGCAGGAGTCCAGTCCCTGTGCTCCTCAGAGTCCCAGCAGGAGTCCAGTCCCTGTGCTCCTCAGAGTCCCAGCAGGAGTCCAGTCCCTGTGCTCCTCAGAGTCCCAGCAGGAGGCCAGTCCCTGTGCTCCTCAGAGT